CATATACAAACTTATCAATATTTATATTATAAATTCAAAGAGAAGTGATAAAATGATATATTTTTTGTCATCATCATCAACTATTGATAACACAAGATTTTTGTAGTTTAAATGTCATCTTCTTTTGTTACATCAATCAAATTTTACAAAATGCATCATTTATTATTGACATTAAACATCACCCCCTCATTGTAGTATGTCCAATTATTTTTCAGTTATAAAAGATTGTTCCTTTCAAAAGAAGCTCCCGCATTATCTTTTCCAAGATTATGCTTTCTTGAGGACTAGGAGTGCGCTTACCGTCCAATCAATCATCTCTTGTCTCTCATTTTTATTTTATTTTTAACTTCATTCACTTCTTTCAAATTTAACTTCTGTAGAAATAATATATTATATGATTTATATACATACACAAATGCATGAAATTTACCATCACAATTCATTCAAATGTAGATTATATTAGAATTAAATTTTATATTATTTAAAATATCTTTAAATATATCTAGTATGATTTTGTCATTTTATTTGTTTATTTATTTATATAAATTTTATAAATCATTCAGTACAGTTATAAATTTATATAAAATTAAACTTTCAATTTTATTTTAAAAATTGTATAATAGGTTCAATTCGATCAATATATCAGTTGTTTTGAAAAAAAATATTAATACCTATCATAATATATTTGTAATCCTAGTTATTTCTTTCATTTGTGCTTTCATTTTTTAATTTATTTCAATTTTAACACTGATGGTAAAAGTTAATTGAAATTAATGAAATATATCGCACCTTTGCAAAGTCTAAGTTTGTAAGATGATGTTATCTTTGTATAGTTACTTTACATAGTAATGTGGAATTACTATCAAATATGTACAGTTTTAGGTAGAAGCAAATAGATTGACTTAATCTATGCAGTTACCAATAACAAATCAACAGACATGTACACAAATTAGCATTAAGACTTGAACAATTTTTTTTTCTATCGTCTTTATCGATGAAAGTGCGTATCAGATAAAAAATAAAAGTGTTAAACCAACAAATATTAATTAACAACATAGATGTAGAACTATAACCCACTAACGGTACTTATAACCTGGATTGTATTAGTCAAATGATGCCTTTTATAATTGCCTAATTTAAGAAAATTGATGAATTGAACTTTTTCATTTTTACAAAATTGATCAAATCAAATGGTTTTAATATTTTCCCTTATCAATTAACAAATGGACTATGTCAATCTAATTTCTTATGAAGCACTTGTATACTCTTTTTGTAAGTTGTGACTTGTAATAATGAATAATCATAGCAAAAATATTATATTTAGCTATAAATATTTTTCGTAGCAAATAGTTAAATTATTAACTATAAATTTTAAGTCTCACTATTTAACACTTTAAATAATCTATGACAATTTTTTTGTTGTCACTAAATCACAGATTGATTAGAGACAATAAAATTTTTGTCACCAATTATTTATATTATAAGTGAAAAAATAAATGTCATAATTAAATCAAAATTTTTATCGCTAAAACATAGAATATTCCACCCTTAAATCCTAAATTATAAATTTATTGAGACGCAAAAACCTATAAAAATCAACCATATATTCAAATCTAAAAAATAGAAAAACAGTACAACATAATATACAACTAATAATATATGTATTAACAACCACATAATTACAGATTTGGCAATATCAAATAAAAGTCCTAATTTGAAAAATAAACTTAAAATATTCTAAAACACTTCACAATAAACCCTAACAGATAAACAATATAATTAATTTAAGGAGTTT